CAGCCGGTCGGCTGAAGCTCCTCCGCTTTAAAACCAGAATTTTAACACCCAGCAAGCTAATAAAACATTTTAATAACTACTTTTCCCATAAATAAACGGATAAGTGCTTCCCAGTGCTTCCACACAATGCAGATGTTCGTTCTCCAAATGACTCTGTGTTCTAAGCTGGTTATCATCATTAGATGTGTATCGCTTCCATATTTGTAGCTCGGAAGATGAAGTGGATGTGCTCTTACATGGCACTCCCGACCAGAAGCGGAAGCTGATACGGGAGTGCCTGACTGGGGAGAGTGAGTCTTCCAGTGACGATGAGTTCCAAAAGGAGATGGAGGCAGAACTGACCACCACCATGAGGACTATGGAAGGCAAATGGACATCACCAGAAATGGGTAAATTGCATTTAACAGCTGCCTGCGTATGAAATTGTCTGTCAAGTGGTGTCCAGTTAAGACGTGAGGTTAATGGCTAGAGAGGTGGTGTGCGTGGTGACAGCTCAGTGCTGTTTGAGGCCTACGGAAAAACCTTAAAATGACTGATCGTGTCTGCAGAACCGGTGACAAGGTGCCACTTCAGTGAATGCATCTGGTTCATCTTTTCTAAGACTTCGATTTTGGTGTTTCTGAACTTCTGATTTCTTGCTTTAATATAATTTCTCGTTGTTAAATCAGTCCCCTTTTTTCCCGGTAACTCTTTCTTTTAAGTTGTTCTTTCACATATATATAGAAGTCTTTCGAGCAGGTAGCGGACTCTTGTACTTCGTCTAGTGGCTCCGGGCAGCTCTCAAGATTCAGAGCCCATCTTGAAGAAAGAAATAGCATATGGTAGATTGAAATCCCAAATCAGCTGGGGAAAAAAGTCAGGAAAAATATTAATCTCTTCCTCCCTTAGCTGCTTATAATTGTTACATCAAATAGTAAAGCTGTATTAAAGACAGATGTGTTCTGGAGTTCACATACTATGGCTGCAAGAGATGGATTGCTTTGGCATTTGAAGGGTGTGTGTTCTTTTTACCTATTACCAAACACCTTAGTTTCATGGAGAGTCAGCATAGTGCTCACTTTAATTGGGACGTCACTCTGCATCCAGCAGGTTTATTAGGTTTACCTATGTTAGTGGGCAAGTCTGGACTTTAGGTTTAGGTTGTGCAATTAAGAAGATGTAGCGATATTTATACCACCGTATCTATCCGGCTCAGAATAGGATTTGTGGTGCAGACTGGCAGTGACACATGGGCTTGGCGATTCTTCTAGGTCTTTTTTGAACTTCTGTGGCCCTGAAATTTTGGGGGATTTTTTTAGTGAATTTTGTTGTAATCAGAGTTTGTGAAACAATGTGCTGCACCTGTATTTGTTTCACTTGAGTGAAGATTTGTGGAGTGTCTGAGATTGTGTGGATTATATAGGACAGAGGCAGGTGTATCGGATGTGGTGTCCTCTGTGTCTAAAGGGAGTGTAACTTGGGAGAACTGTTCCTTTGAACTGTACCTGAGGTTCATCTCAGAGGGAGTGAGCAGCTTTGCTCTGAGAGAGCACCTGTAAATGAAGTAACATAAGCAATGTTGATGATCAGGACGTGGGAAAAACTTGGGAGAGCTGTTACTTAACACACCCAGATAAGCAGAGCACTGTTGGATAGAATAATTTGGAAACAAAGGTTTGTTCAGGGCTGTATACTTGCTGTCCTATTGGTGGGGTGTTCTTACCACGTCTCTCTCTGATTTCACACACAGGTACTTCCTCAAGCACTGGGCAGACTGGACCTGCCACCACTTCAAAATACTATGATGACATTTACTTTGATTCTGATTCAGAGGATGAAGATAAAATAGGTAAATGACTGAGGGGAGGGAAGGGAGATTTTACAGTAGCACTTTCTTCTCAGATCCTGTAGAATCCTCCAGGGGAGGCAAGGGCTGTTCCTGAAGGCGGCCTTTTGGGGGGAATTACCAGGCTGTATCATCTCAGTGTAGTTCCTGCAACTGTATGATGTATCCCTGTGTATGTAAGGTGTGTCAGTGCTTCAGCGTGGTGCGTTTGGAGGAGAGATGAGCTAGACCTTTCTGTTTTAGTTTAGATTTATTGCAAGTATGGAAAAGGCAAAACCTGATATTTTGGTCTTTTAAGTAGAGAATCATTGTATGTCTGATGGATGTAACATGTGCCTGCACACATCCTTCCAGTTACACAGGATACCCGGAAAAACAGAAAACATCAGCAACGTCGGATTCTTTCCAATGATGAACTGCTATATGACCCAGAAGAAGACAGTAGAGATCAAGAGTGGGTAGACTCACAGAGGAGGGGGTAAGAGACCATAAATATTTGAATTGTAGGATGCTTAACATAAACTGAGAAATTTAAATTAAAATGGTGAATATAGAGAAGAAGCCTTTGCTGTCAACTCCATGCAGTGAAAATATTTTTTATTTAGAATTTACAGCATACGAAATTAAAAGCCTGTGAAATTTTTATGTGTATGCAGTGGAAGTTGAGTCTTCAAAATTGCACAATTCTAAAACTTGCAGTTTTTTAAAAGCAAGACTTCCTAGTTCTGTAAGCCAGTTTTGTCTGTAGATCTCATCTAAATGGCTGAAAATGTTGCAAGATCCATTGATTGCTAAATTAATATCTGTTCCTGCTAAATATTGTATTTCTAGTTTTGGAAAACTTTGAATTTAGCAAGCCACAAAATATTCAGATAAAATAGGAACACCACAAAGCTGCTTTACCAAGGGGTTTTTGAAGGGTGAAGTAGAAAAATGGTTGTTGCAGCAGAAGTAAAATTCTCCATGTAAATCTGTTGAAAAGGATAACAGTAATGTATATTGCCTGCAGAGATTGCCTCCTTGTCAGAGGAGAGGTTTATTAGGCACAAATTCTCATGCCAGGTGTATTTGTCTCACCAAATGAAAATTCTCTGCACAAAGTAAATGAAAAGATACTGGTACACGTTTTTTCCCCCTGGTTTATTTATTTATGTGCTTCGAGTTAGCGAAAAAGGTGTCCAGAAGGAGCCAAATATTAATTGGTGTATTTTAATACAAAAAAGGTTTGACAGTTGAATTGATATGCCCGACAGTGAGGGCACGTAATTTCACTTTTTGTCTCGCCTTCCTCCTCTCTCGAATGGGTAGGTACCGTAACCAAAGAAGAGCGCCAGTGCCGCAGCAGCAGCAGGCAAAACCTTCAGCGGTCCCAAACAGCGATGCTGTTTTGAATTGCCCTGCTTGCATGACAACGCTGTGCCTGGACTGCCAGAGGTAATCGGGGAACAAAAAGGGTCTTTTTGTAATGTCTTTTTTAGTTAGTGTTATTTTTAGTGTATTGAAGTTGATTTGATCAAGTCTGTCTTGTGAGGTGGTGCTAATAAAGAATCAGACGGAGGGGTGAATGCTAGTTTGTAAGAATGATGGTCAGTTTAACCTGCAACACGGAGATGAGGAAGAACAGGGTAGAACTTTAGCGTAGTGCAGAAGATAAACTATTTTAAAAAAAAATCATGGAGACTAAACAGGTGGTTCAGGCTGATACTTTTTTTAATATGTTGGCTTGACATTTAGAGGAATAAAATTATTCCAGGTTATTTTTGTGTAAAAGTGCCTTGTTTAGGGGAGGATTAAGCAAAATCATGATCGTGTATTCTTACTTGGTTTGAGGCTTAGCAGTTGTGGTTTTGGGTATAGCTCCATTTAAAAGTGCCTGGAAAGCATTTAGGTGAAAATCCGTAGTGTGTGTTCCGGCTCTCTGGTATCTGACTGCTCTGCAAACCTAGCTAGTACTGCTAACCCGTGCTAAGAAGAGGACTCTGCAACTGGGGATAAAGGAGAAAGAAATCTTGTGAAATGAGGAATAAACTACCTCTCATTTACTGAGTACTGTTGGTGATTGAGGACGAAATTCCACAGCAGCCTAAAACCATCTAAGTACTGGGTGCTGTTTCTCGCTCACTTCTCTTTGCTGGCTCTGGTACTCCATGACCCTGTTACATAGTTAAGTATTTCAGTTTGCTAAGCTGACAGAAAATGATCCATTTTTATTGTCAGACTGGGCTTTTGTGGGTTTAATAATCTGCAATAGCTCAGCACAGCGTTACACAAGCAGTAAGGCCAGTGGTGGTCAAGACAGGACTCCGGCAGCCACCTGTTCTGTTGGTTTAGGCTGCTGTAAAACTGAGAGACATTGTGTTGAAGTGAATTGAACTGTAGCCCTGAGTTTTGCTACGTACTCCGGCTGTGCAGTTGTTATAGTGATGACAGCTGAAAATACATCTTATATTTTATTATAGACGTGCTTTTTCAAGTGTGATGTGTCAATGTTTGTTATTTATAAATAAGGAATTTCAGGCTTGCAAGACATTTTAGGATATAAATGCCAATAGTTGAGTCATTTGTGCTCACGACTTCATGACCTTTTGCCTATCATCAGCTATACATAGCAATGCGTAATTCTGTAGTACCAACACCATTGTACTGCGGGGTGTTTGTTTCAGCAAGAACCAGCATGTTTTTGAAAATGCCTTAAAAACAAGACAGATGGCTACAATTACTTTTTTTAATGATTTTTGTAGTGGTGAGTTTTGTTCTGTTTATAAAACTTCATATGTATTTGGCTTTTAGCCCTTTGGCGTGGTACTTCCAATCTTTAATCCCATTTTCAGTGACGATAACCAATTTCTTGGAAGCAGAGTTTTGCTGATGGTGCGTGACTTGCATTTTCTTCCCTTCTCTGTAGACATGAGTCTTACAAAACACAATATAGAGCAATGTTTGTGATGAACTGCGTTGTTAACAAAGAAGAAATTCTGAAATACAGAAAGAAGCTAAAGAAAAGAAATAAGAAAATGAAGCACAGCAAAGAAACTACCTCTGTACAATCAAATCAAGAAGAGGAGGAAGTGTATCATCCAGTGTTATGTACTGAATGCTCAACTGAAGTGGCAGTAATGGATAAAGATGAAGTTTTTCACTTCTTCAATGTTCTAGCCAGCCACTGCTAATGTGTAAAAGCAGGGGAGAAAAATCCTGCCCTGTTTTGAGACTGTGTGAAGCATCAGAAACGCAGGCATGTTAGCCTTTTTTAAATACGGTCTTTTAAATGTACGTTTTCATCAGAGAACTTTACAAGGATCAGATTTTTGCAGTTTATGAAGGGCACACAGTTAACTGCGTACATCTGAGAGCAATATTCTTTCATGCTGTCAGGTGGTTGCATCATTTAAAATTTTGTAAATAGAATGTAAATCTGTGTATGATGATCATTCCCTGTGTATATACTACCCATTATCTCAGTACGTATTAGAACAGGTGTTTAGAATAAATACTGCATAGTAACTGCTTCTCCATGGCTGCCTTGCTCATTTCTATGGCACGTGGTAAATAAACAGCTCTCAGCTGGGATGTTGGGCTTCTTTAGGCTGGTGTTCTTGGGTGGATTTTCACACAGGTAGGTTTGATAAACAAGGAGTTGTCATATTTGGATTTTTGGCCTATTAAGTTCTCAAGAAAATGGAAACTTGTATTTATACAGAGTGGAAGATTAGCTTATATTGAGTTTGCTAGCATGGATCATTTCAATGAACATTAATGCTTAGCGATAGAGTTAAGAGGGTTTAATGTAAATATGTATATGAGGAAAATACTTTTTCTGTTGTCATTTTTCCTTATGATGGCACATTTTAAGAAGAAATTTATGGTCAGATCTGTGACCATAGAGCTAGTTTGTATACTTCTTCTGGTTTTTTAGTACGTTTACAGCTTCTTTATGGAAGCATAAAGAGCTTCTGCTACTTGATATTTAGACTTCTTGCTCAGTCTATGAAGCCACTGCAATGTTAACAATGGGTCCTTCCCTCCCTTCCTCCAGGCATGCTCCCAAGAGGTGAACTCTTGTTTTTTATTAGTAAGTAACGTCTCCTCTTTACAGCCTGGTGTTTTTTTGACACTGCACTTTGAAGTAGGCCCGTATTTATGCTTTTTCTTTTAATAATACTAGGAGTAATTTGTTACATGTCCTTTGAGGAACTGTCAGAAATATTTAAGCTGAGGGAGGTAGGAAGGACATGCTGCTTTTGTGCCTTAGATGATAATAAAGTCTTGTGACTCTTCCATTACCTTTTATAGTCCCTGGTGCTATATTTTACTAACCTACACACACTCACTCTACACAGTGTTACATGAGATTAGGAAGAAAAAAACGCGTTGGTGGTTCTGTCAGAATTACATGAGGAAAACATTGACTTATGATTTTCAAGTCAGCAGAAACGTAACCTCTGCTTGATCAAGCAGAGAACTGTTGAGGCAGCTGCTGAACACTTGGTTGGCTGGTGTGGTGGTCCTTCCTCTGCATGTGCAACCTACGATCAAAATTGAGCCATACTTGTTTTGAGGCTTGGGATCTGCGTGAGATAAGATCTCAACCTCGTCTTTGCTACCTACAGTCAGACTGATGAGTGGAGTGTCTGGCTTACATACTGATAGCTACAGGATCATCTAAAGTGGGGTAAATGGTTACTGTGTGCCGTGAGCCAAGAGGTGTATATGGAAATTCTGAACGTACAAAGAACTGTTTCTTACTAGCAGAAGTGTGGAGGAGCAGATGTGATAGACAGTCTGTGCTGTGGGGCCTGCTTGCCTTGATGTGGCTGTCTTCACGTTCCAGGTGAGGCTTGAAGGCTCTGTGTAGCCCCAGGTTAAGGGTTTTTAGCACGTGGGAATGTAGTTCAAGGGCTCAAGCGTCGATGCCGGTGGTAGCAGGAGGAACCATAGGTGATGGCAGTCCCTAAGCAGGGGCAGAATGGAGCTGGCAAAGGAGGGGAAACTATACAGAGGAGTATTGTCAATCTTGTTACGGGGCTAACTAGCAAAAAACCTCATTAGTATCCACATACTGAAAAGGTGTAAGGGGCCTGGGTGCCACCAGGTGGGTTAGGGCAGATGTAGCAGGAGATTTCAAAGCTGGCATGCCTCTTCACATTACCTTTCCTCTAGTGTCAGGTACTTGCTGCTGCTTCTTGCTTGCCTTATCACTTGAATTGCAGAGCTTCTTGTTAGGAAATGTAAGAGCAGGCAGGATGGGACTCGTTTGCCCCACATTGATAATGTTTTTGCAGCTCTGAATGGGAGTAATGCCTGTATTGCCCCACTTGTCCTTGAACTTTGTATGTGTTTATACAGAAAGGAGGCTTTCACAATTACCATCACTTTTTCAAGCAGCCACACCAACACAAGACTCCTTCAGCAGCAACTGCAACACACAACAGCGGTCTTGGATAGGGATAACAGCTCCTGTAGCCAGTTGTGTGGAGGTATTAACTGTGTGAATGCTGTCATTTCTTGTAGTGAAATAAATCTGTATAGATAAAGCGTGTCTAAATGTCTTCTGGTTGAGTTAAATCCCTTTTCAGATTCTGCCAGACAAACCAGTACAGTCTTCAGTTGTCTCTGCCAGCTAGTTTTCTTCTTCACAGTTACCTCCTGGTACTGTAGTTGTATTTTGCATCTGTGTAAATAATTCATATGTGCATCCTCCTGTGACTGTATTTCCTCGTTTTTCATTGTACTTTAGTACGAGTGAAGGTAGGGGTGGAGTGGCTGCAAGAACAGAATCACACCGCTGAGTGACATAATTGCAAATCGATTTACTAAGCACGGCGGGTAAAGTGAGTTAATACCAGTTTCTAATCCATGGTGTGCATTCTTGGCCTGGAGGCCCTGGCTGGTGGCCTGGCCCCGGTGCCTAGTGGTTGCACCTCATGCTCCGCTCTCATGGTGCCTGATTATTGCATATGACCCCTTCCAGACGGCTTTCAGCTAGTGCCTTCTGAACTGGAGGGCTGCTATAAGCTGCCAGCAGCCTGCAGTCCCAGGCGAGGCTCTGGGAATTTCTCCTTATCCGAGGCCAATTAGCAGTCATGGCAGAGATCTCCCATGCTCTCTGGTCTCTGGCTCCACATGCCAGGGACATGTTTTACTGGTGGGCTTGGTAGAGTTAGGATAATGGTTGGACCTGATGGTCTTAAAGGTCTTTTCCAACCAAAATGATTCTATGATTCTACATCTTATGGAAGTGCAAAGTCAGCAACAGTTATGGTGAGCAGTTGATCTATTGCCTCTTTATTTTTCCCATTCATATGGGATTAATCTAGTCAGAGTTGGCTGATGTTGAGGTCTCATTTATCTGAGCCATGTTTTTGGATGGGCTTTACCCTCTGACAACTGAAGGCATTGCAGCCTCCCGCAGAACACTTTTAACACACTTCCTGTGGGCCCTGCTGAGCAGAGTCCTTGGGTCTTCTGTAATTCCCAGAACATCAGTTTAGATTAAATAGGATGACAGAAAATAGGCTGCAGCACCAACTCCTAGGTATGGCTCAGGCGGGCAGTTTACTCCAGGTTCACGGTCAGCCATGCAATGTAACCAGACCAGGCATGAACCGCCACACGCTGCTGGACTTCAGCGTTTGGCGGGGCGCGATGACACCGCTGCGCTGGTGTGGGCCTCCGCTCTGCCCCGGCATTCAGCGCTGGACGGAGCCTCGCTGGCGGCTCGCAGCGAGCCAGAGTG